GTTAGGCCGACGAGAGGAGCTCGTCCCCCGCGCCCCCAGCTCCCTCCTGCTGGAACGCCTTCGCTCCCCGCGCTGAACCGGGCAACCCGCCATGCCCCTGGCGTCGGGTTCGCCTCGGTAACCCGGAGCCCCGGCAAGGCTCGCATCAGACTTGCCGCCACTTCCCCGCCCCGTTCCCGACCAGCCGCCGACACCGGGTTTTTCCCAACCTCTTTCCCGCCGCCGGCACCGCGCTAAGGCGCTCGGCACAAGCCGCCGGCGTGGTGCCGGCCCTGGGAAAACCCTGAGGCACTGGGGCTGAGGAGAGCCGGGGAGCCCGCGCTTAACCGCCAGGCTGCGCCCCGGCCTGGTCTACCTACGCCAAAGGCTTGTGGAGGCGGCGGCCATCTTGGCAGGAGGGCTTGGCTCCCATCCTGCCAGTAGCGCTAGGAAATGGTGGACACGGGGATGGGTCAAGGCTGGGCTTCGATGGTGGCGGCGGTCAGGAAATAACCATCGTTTTTACCAGACTCCTCTGACTTCGTTAGTAGTGATGAGGACACCCGTTAACGAGTGTTCTGATATTTTCACATATTGCAGGCAAGAGACTCAAGGAAAACATTTTTTGAGTTACTGAACAAAATTTACTCTTCTAGCATCTGTGTCTTAGCCAAATCTCATAAATAACATTATTGCTTACTTTAGTACTCAGCTATGAGGATATTTACATAAACCGTTTTGCCTAGGAACTTCATAAATTAATTACTGACTAAGCATTGCACCAAAAACACTTCTGTTGCCAATGTCCTAGGAAGTACAACACAGTGGGGCAATACCCACAATTACTCTGTTTGTTTAGTCATCTTCATGTTTAAAATTCCACCATTTCAACTTTACCTTGAGATGTCATTCCCTTCCCGTCTGTTGGCTACAGGAGCAAGAAAGCCCCATTGGGCCCTGGGGCTCAGTAGTAAAAATCTTGGTGCAAGGTTGATCGTGGAGACGCTTTGGACTGACCTTTCCCCAAGCTGTAAATCTAATATAGCACTATAGTTAGGTTGCTTTTATTAGATTATGAGTAACAACGTATGTCTTTTCTTCCGTCCTGTTCAGTGCAGTTAATTTAAGATGGACTTTACTTGCTTTTATTTGTATTTTATGTGCTGTACTTACGTGTCTGTGTTGTGTGTTTTATAATAAGCTGTATTTTCTACAGAACTAAACCAGGCTGGATTGCATCATCATCAAGGTTCAACGAGGGGACGAACCTTTCAGGCCCACCCCTGCATGTTTCGCTATAGCATCTTATTAAACCTTTTGCCGACTCTCATTCCGGTATTTTTTTTACAGCAATGTAAAAACATGAACATTGCCAACAAGCTTTGAACTCATAATAACATTTCTTCCCATTAATTACTTTTTGTATCTCTACTGTCATAGTTCAGCATAATTTTCCTGGCCTTGGATACATTACAATCCTGCTCACAAATAGTCGTACTTTTCATTACTACTGTTTTCAGGTGATAAAGGGAAGAAAAATAATGTGTGTTGCTAAGGAAGTGCTCAGAGCTTCTAAATCAGGAGTGTGCCTACACTGCATTAAAAAAACCCAACCAAACAACATCTGTGTCACTAAGAGAATGCAGAGACAAAATCATGTATCCTCAAATCTTTCATTAAAACTTTACTTTTTTTTTTAAAGTGCTAGAACCTGGCTTCTGTATGAGTCTTTGTAAAAGGACTTGGGAATTTCAGACTGACAAAACAATTGCAGTACACTTTTCTAACTTTTTCTTGTGTTTTGCTGGCTGTACTTCGGGTACTGTCCATGAGGCTAGGAAACTCCAAGCTTAATCTTGGTGGCAATCTGTAGACTTACTATCATAGAAAGTTTTTGTGACTGATACAGCCAGTACATTTCCCATAACAAATCAAAACTGTTTACTTTGCTTGAGGAACTTCATATTCTGGACTCTCCCTTAGTTGAAATGGAAATAGGGTGCAACTGTGAGTGAAAAGGCATTACTCAGGAAGTGTTGCTGCTGGCGACAAGTTAATCATCCTCTCTAAGTATACTGCCTCAAATACAGTTCCAGTGTTCTTATACTATAGGATATTTTTAGCTATGTTTCATTATAATGGATGAAATCTCTTCCCCCAGCAAATAATCAAGAGAGTCTTCTAACAGCATTTGGTTTGTGTACTTACCTCAAGAATTAATTTGGCTTGTTGTATCTTAATAAAGCTTGCAATTCTTGTTTTGCTGGTTTCTCTTTGATATTTAGGCAAAGGATAGTCTTGCAGTTAAAGAACAAAAGTGAGAGGCATGACATCTTTTCCTGGCTCAGCTAGTACTTCCTATAGACAGCAAAGAAGACCGAAAACAAGGTAGAAGTACAAAGTTTTTACATTTCTTATGCGCAAGGAAAAGACAATTTTATGTCAGTTCCAGACTCCTCCATTGTGTGAGCTCTGCCCCCAAAATTCCGGGCCTCAAGAACAATTTATGAAAAACAGTGCTCAAAGGAGCTGAAGTACAGTAATAGTTGAAGATAATCTATTGTTTCAGTGATACATCTTCCCTAATGCAGACAGTTCTTAGAAGTGTTGGATGAAGAGCCAAATCGCTACAAGACCAAATAAAACAACAAATCACATTTTGCAACCAATGTTCTTGCATTGTTTTCCTCTGAGTGGTTGGACATGTGGGTAGAAAACTGTTTCAGTTGCTAGGTAATTGTCATTGCTTCTCAGCCACATATTTTTATTGTTAAAGCAAATCTTCATTT